AAGGAAAGGAAAGGAAAGGAAAGGAAAGGAAAGGAAAGGAAAGGAAAGGAAAGGAAAGGAAAGGAAAGGAAAGGAAAGGAAAGGAAAGGAAAGGAAAGGGGAAAGGACAAAGAAAAAAGAGAGAAAGAAAGAAAGAATGAAAGAAAAAGAAAAATAAACACCCTGAGGAAGAAAGAATCCAATAATAACTAATTGTTATAACCAGTACAATCCTCAGAACAACTGCTGTTTTTTCGTTAATAGCCAGTGAGGCGCCTGGGAAAGCTGGGGCTCGCGGGGCTCCATGGGCTACCTGACCCCATGGCTGTAGGTGGGCTCCGTGGGGGCCAGGGGAGCGGGGCTGGGCTCCTGCACCCCCCGCACCCCCCGCACCCCCCGCACTCCCCACTGGCTCCCGTTTGCCAGCCTTGGCTCCACGTTATTCGCCATGGGGATTTCAGGTTAGTTTTATGGGGTCACTTGCCTGCAGATCCCAATGTAAAGATCACGCACGGGCAAATTCTCAGAAATAAAACTGTCAGCCACTCCCCCCAAGCACACAGCCGGTGAGGTTTCTCCTTTTCCCCCTCTTTTTTCCTTTTCCTTTTTTTTCCTCCCCCCCCCTCCCCGCCCCGACACGCTGACAACTGCTTGTGCTTCTCCAGTGAGATATCCGTGCTCTCCTGCAGTGCAGCTGCCCTGTGTGGCCCACGGTTTGAGGCTGTGAGGTTTTTGGGACCCCTGTCCAGCTTTGGGGCACACAGCTCCCTTAGGAGCTCCGGGGTAGCCTGGGCAAGGGGGCCTGGCAGTTGGGGTCATTGCCTGGGGCTCCCCCAGGAGCCCACCCCAGCTTGTCTGGTTTACAATGCATCAGGAGCTGCCTCTAAAACCAGTCACTCTCTGTGACTCCTGCCCTCATTAATGTTCATTAATGCTGTCAAAAAGCTCTGTAAGGGGGTGCTGCTCTGCTGCCTGGGGCTGACACACGTCTGCCGCTTAATATGTGCGAGTGAATTCGTGCCCGTTCCCCCCAGCCTGGCCCTTTCCTCCCTCCTTCCCAGCTCTGCCGAGGAGGGAGAACCCCTGCCCGGCTGCCTGCGCTCCCTGCGGGCACAGGGAAATGGGGCTGCAGCCACAGGGGAATGAGGCACGGCTCGTTTGAAAGAAGGACACCCCCCACCCCAGTACTGAGGTGCCAAAACCAGCTCAGCTGAAGTGTTTCCTTATTGCAGCACAAGTTTGGGGAAGAGCAGCGAGGAGCCGCGCAGAGCGCAGGAGGACGCTGCCGCTGCGCTGCATCCAGAGGGAAAGCAGCTGCCTCATTGCTTCTTGCCAGAGAGACCCTCTCTGCAGAGCGAGAGCGTTCCCAAGCCATCCACTGGCAGGCAAGTCGCTAGAGGGAAGGGGGAGCCTTGCTCTGTGACTTGGTTGGGGTTGTTGCACCAAAGGTTTTTATTCACTCAGTCCCACGGCAGCATCCTGTGCAGACATTTATTTTGGCTAAAGCCAGCCTGGTTCTCCTTCGGATGCAGTCGCTGAGGCCTGACCCACACAGGCTCCTTGTGCCACTGGGGTGGCCGCAGACACACCGGTTGGCTGTGGGGGGACAAGCTTCCACGCAGGGGGGGCAGATGGTGCCACCCTGCATGGGGCTGCAGGCAGATGGGCACAGTCCTGGGGGGGGGGGGGGA